TTCGACGCCAGGAGAAGCCCCAAGGGCCCACACACCAAAGCATCCGCCACCCACCAATTAAAGTAATTTCTACGTGCTGCACAATACGCACCCGAAAATCCAATGTACTCCCCGGGCTGAGGGACAACCTCGGCAGGTTTTCTGGTACGACAGTCAACCCCCAACTGCAACAATCGCCTCGGACCTCTTCCAATAGCTGAATTCGTGTCGGTATTCTTTATTTATGCACCTCCTTGCCTCTACGGTATATGTTTAAATTTGAAACTGTAGTCAGCCCAACCTTACAGCAACGATACCGGCAGCGTCGCTGCGCAGCTCCGTTCTCCGTGTATTTTTCTCCGGGCAGCCTGAGTTGTGGTGCATCCTATATATACGCTTAATACGGTACTAGGAGTAAGTAGCATCTACGTAGAAACGGGCCCGGAGCCCAGAAATGGAACGGGTCGCTGACGTCCCAGCACACGGCGAGTCCAATCGGGACCCTTCTGACTTTGCTCTTACCAATAAGAATCTTGTTTGTTGCTACGTGTGCCGCCTAATCAAGTCGCGCAACCAGGTGCGGTGTTTGTTGCGGTGGAGCGTTGAGGACGCTGCTCAGCCGATTCCCTTTTGCAGTTCCATGATTCGGGTTGTGACAACTGTAAATAAAATCTTTTTGGACCTAGCATTTCATTTGAAGACTACACGACACCAAACTTCTCGGGGTAAGGACTGAGGCTTTTAAACGATTCGGGGACTTTGTTCTTACGGGCGAGGATGGAGGCAGTGAGAGGATTCATAAGCACATGGCCTAACAATGTTGCTTGCAGAATGATCGCTTAATACGGTTTGTTATACTCGTAAAGTTGTGTCTTCAGTAATCTCTTCCTACCCCATGTGCACGTGTAATTTACGTGATGATGGTTCGAATTCTCTATGTGCCGTACACAGACATCGCCTCCTTCACCAGCATGTGTGGTCAGGTTCCGCCCCACCGAGTCATGGCGTTCCTCAACGACCTCTTCACCACTTTTGACCAGCTGGTGGGGAAGCATCAAGTTTACAAGGTCGAGACCATCGGAGGTACGGCATTGTACATTGATCTCTATTATGGACCCTAAGGCCAGTTGGGCTTGCAAGTGGCTTCACCTCGGTAGGTTTCTCGGGACATCCGTGTTTCAGGTTCGGTCCATTGATGTGCGCGAGCTTATGATCTCCACCCGAATCTCGCCCTCTGGCTTAGGATAGAGGTACACGCTGCTGGGCGCATGGTAATTTTCAGGGGGTTCCGTCCAGCAGGCCCCCCCCAGTTGGTCATCCTCGGGTGATGGAGGCCCCCCACGTGCATACCCCTCCACGGGTCATAGCTGCGGCCAGTCGCGCTGTTCGTTGTGCAGAGTGGCTGGGGAGAACGTCTTGTTTGGTCGTGCTCCTATAGTGATGTCGCCAACTCTTCATCCCCTCTCAACCGTCACTGCATATTCGTACATATATTGGTGAGTGACGTCAACATCCAACCGGTGGATCAGCCCGCATTGCGACGGAAGATATGCTTTGTACTACTGTTCATTGTTTTAAGTTCTGTACGGAAGGTCGGAAGTACGGAAAGCTCGTGATTGGAGAGCGACATGAAGTGTTGTGCTGGGCGGGATGACTGTCGTAGAAAAAGTTCGGGGAAATACCGTGCGAATGGGTGGCGTGTGTGCGTACGGCGTTCGTGTGCGTGTGCGTGTGCGTGTTTCACAAACGACGTTCATGTCAAACCCGCGCCGCCTCCGCTTCCACGTCCTCAGGTCTGTTGCCTATTTGGGAAATGCCGTCGGGCTACATCGGATCTTTGCGTACGACCCGCCAGCGCTGGACAGTTTGTGGGATGCCGTACGAGCCGGCAAGACGTGGAGCGGTCTCGTCTGCATGCCGTCACACCTAGATCTCCGGGGCCTGCGGGACGCCGCCAGCGCCGCCGCCAAGTCCACGTCACCATGCGCCAACGCGCCCTCAGTGCGGCCGCCGACGCCACCGCTGCCGTCGTCCCCGAAAGCATGCCATGGAGCCAGGGGCTTTTTTACGGCGGTGGCGGCAGCGGTGGAGTCGGTGGCGACGCCGCCGCCGATACGGACGTCGTGGGCTTGCTGCTACAGCAGCTGCAGCGGCACGGGAGCGGCACGGGCTCGCGGGTCGGTGGCGGCGCGACGGCGGCTACAGCTACGTGCGCTTCGGCGGCGGCGGTTGCTGTACCTGTCGGCTCTGGACGAGGGGTGGGGGAGAGGAGCACAGCTGTCGTTACCGCGGCCGCCGCTGGCTGTGGCAGCGGTGACAGCGGTGGCGGCGGCGGCGGGGGCTCCTGGGGATTCGGCTGTGTATCGCATCTGCCGTCCGCCAGCTTGCCATGACCACAGGCGCCGCCGGCCGAATGCAACGCCAGCGCCGCCGGTTCACTCTCTCCTGACGTGGTGGCCACTATTACAGGGCCGCCGCCGCCGCGAGCTACTGCAGCCACAGCCGGCGGCAGTAGCGGTGGCGGCTGCAACAACAGCGGCAGCCGCGGCAAACCCGTTATGAAGCTGCCGCGCAACGTCTCGGCACCCACCTTTCACAGCGTTGCGAGCTCTAGTCGTCCTCTGCCGTCGGTACTGGAGGCGGAGGCAAGCTGCGGCGGCAGCGTTTGCGGCAGCGGAAGCGCCGCCGCCGTCAGCGTGGCGACCCTTCTGGCGCACCGTGCCAGCTGGAACGCCGACCAGACATTCCCAGCCCAAGCTGGAACGTCGCTGTACGGCAGCTCTCCGTTGACGACGCCGTCAAGGCAGCTATCCACTTCGGCGTCCGTCGGTAGCGGCGGAGCTGGCGGCGGCGGCGGCGGCAGTGCAGGACTGTTTGGTCCTTTGGGCCTGATCCACAGCCCTTCTTCAGCTCAGCTGTCGTACTGGGCCAACTCCCGCCGTACACTCATTCACAGGTCAAACAGCCTGGCGCAGACGGAGTACGCCCTGGACGGTAGCTACCGCGCCATGCGGATTGCGGCGTCAGCGGCGTCTCAGGGCCTTCTAGGCCAGGGGCCTACTACTGCTTTCGCTGGCGGCGGCGGCGGGTGGTCGTACGGCAGCGCTGACGGCCTTCAGTGCTGCAGTCCCCGCGGCTTGGATGCGTCCCTCGCGGATCAGATGTCGGGTCCCAAGTTTGTGCCGCCCCTGGTAGCTAGTACGGCAGCGGCAGCGGCGCCAGCAGCGACGGCGGCGCGGAGAGTCCTAAGCGCCAGCGTGACGAGCGTGCGAGCTTCATGCGGCGGCGGCGGCGGCGGCGGCGGCGGCGGCGGCGGCGGCGGCCTCCGAGGATTCTCTGTGTCGAGCGGTGCTACGACCAGTTTAGCGACGGCGGGAGAGGAGCTCGCGCATACCGAGGCGACGGCGGCGGCGGCGGCGCCGTCACCGCTTCTGCCCAGAGCATCGCCGCCGTACGTTAGCAACTGCTGCTGGCATGAGGTTCAAGCAAACCTGGTTCTGGATCCGGTTTCAACGGAATGGAATCTGGTGCTCGCGTTCCATGACGTCATGTCGTACGTGCAGGCTGAGCTGGAGGTTAGACAGGTCTTAGATGCTGAGGTGAGAGAGCTTTGTTGTGCAGTCACAAATGGAAAAGGCAAAGCGATATGTATAAATGTTATTGCATCCGTTGGGATTTGAATGGTGTACCTTCCAGCTTTGCGGAATGAAATTCAAAACGAATCTGTGTGGCCTTTGATCCCATTTTCTTTTGGGCCGTGCTCTCGACGGCTCACCTTCCTGGACCTGGATCTGGATCTTGATGCTTCATGGATGGTACGACGGCGGGTTCGCACCACCCGCCGTACAGCACCGCATCCTTGAAGAAGTCTTTCCGAGACACGTGCTGGAGGTGATGACGTCAGACAAGTGCCGTACATCGACTTTTGGCGGCGGCGGCGGCGGATGTCCCTCCCTGGTGCGCACTTCCTCCTTGTCATCGACTTACACTGTCAGCGGCGGTGCCGCCGCCACCGCCGGCAGGCAGCTGTCGTGTGGCGGACGTGGCGTGGGCCAGCCGGCACCTGCGCTAGCCGGCGGCGACGACGCAGCCGCTGCCGCGCCGATGGCGACGGTCTTTGGGCGCAGTTCGGCGCCAATCCTGTGCTCGCCAAGGAGCCCTGCCCGGGCGGCGGCGGCAGCGGCGGCGGCGGCGGTGGCGGCGATACCTGACGGCCCTAGCGGTGGCGGCAGCGACGTCGGCGGCGTCGGGGCTGTCGTGCCTCATAGCCTGGCACACGATTTGTTCTCGCCGCCGTCGTCAACCACTGACGGCAATGCCGCCGCCACCGACCCCGCCATCGCAACACGCCGTATTCAGCCGTACCTCGCCGCAATGTCTGGCCGCAGCGCCACCGCCGCCTCGGCCACCGCTGCTGCCGCCGCAGCCACCAACGGCTGCAGTGGAGAGCGCCGCAGCATCAGCACGAATTTAGGCGCGTCTTGTAGCCTGGCGTCGTATAACCACTGCA